AGACAGTGAAGAAAATAAAAACCATTTAAACCTCTCAATAGAAAAAAAAGCCTCTGCAACCACAGCCTTTGTTACAAGCTGTTTGAACACAAATATAATGAACTATCTGTATTTTAAGCTCTTTTGGCATATTTTTGGTTTGTATTTTTTTTTAATGCACAGGATTTCACACGTTCTCCGGTGAAAGACCACAAGAGTAATTGTTAGTTACTATCACAATAGAACTATTTTCACGATAATCACAACATGGTCCCGCAAAATATCACCCATTTCTCGTAGTGAAGGACTCCACCCATACTTTGCAAACCTAACAGGTTTTAAGCACCATAATCACCCTCTTAACTATGTTTTAAAGACTTCGAAAAAAAAATAAAAAAGCCCGGTAGAAGATGCAGTAACAAATACATTATGTTTTAGGCTGCAAGAATACACAGAATTCACCTGAATTGAAAGAACTTTCACAAATCCCAACACTTGGCTACCAAGACAGTATATAACTATGAAGACAAACCTGAATTTACCAAAGCCTTAAGACAGTTTGCCTTTCTCAAATAAAAATTTTGCAGGCAAAATTTATAACTTACAGAAAATAGTCAGAAAGAGATTCCAAACTGAATGGCTCAATTTTACTAACTTTCCAGGGAGCAATGTAAAATTCTCTGCCTGAATCCAATTTTGACACGAGACATACAGCCTCTCTGCTGAAAAACTGATAGAGCCATCACTTTACAAACTGCATGACAAGCAACAAATCTCCCTCTTTCATAGCCCTTCACAGAAGATTTAATAGTCCTTCAATTCTGTATCTCCTCCTCAGATGTTTTGGATTAAGTGTTATTTTCTGGTCCTTAAATACCAGTCCTCACATCTGAAATGATCAATAAATATATAACCAGGCCTGCAACACAGGAAAAAAGTTAAAAGGGTTTGCCATCTCTCACCCTTACAGATGCAAATGCTGAACTGCCCTGCAAGAAGTCAATTCACTCCCATCCAAATGGCCACTAGATTTCTGTGTGATAAAATTAACCTGGTGTTATGCACCGAATTTAAGGACAACTTAAAGGCATTCTCTTACCGACATCACTTCCTCTTCCTTATAGCTTCTTTTGTGGGGGATGGGGGGAAAAAACCAGAACAACCACCCCAAAAGAAAAAAAAAACAAACTAAAAAAATCACCTCAAGACTTGGCAGGTTTTCCTCATTTTCCTAAAAAAGGGCATCACTGCTGAGCTACAGTTCGACCAGAGATCAAAAGCCCGAGTATTTGAAAGGGAAAAAAAAAACCAAACAAACCAACACCCCAAAAAGCAGGGGCTCACCACACTTACTGATGTCTGTTCCAAATGCATGGAATGTTTCTCCAGCCTCACCTGCCTTTGCAAACATGGCGTTATGTACGTTATAAAGTAAAGCCTCACCGCTTGCAGAGGTCTCAGGCAAGAGCCACACAGGACAAACATGAAGCCTTTTAACGAGCTCTGAGAAGATCCTCCCGTGTTACAAGTAACGAGAGCCCAAAACCACTAAGACTGAGCAGAGAAAAACTATCATTTGCCAAACTCAGACGTTTTGACACATTGTCCATGTCAAAATTTGCAAGCATTAGAAGTTACCAGGAGCTCCTCCGAGTCAGCTTCTTTAAATGTAACCATGGAACACTCCGCTTGATTGATTTTTCTAAAATAATACAGTAACTTTCCAGTTTGATGCTTTCAAAACATTGAGGTATTTGATTCCTTATTGTAACATTGTCAAGGCAAGGAAAGGATCCCTATGGTGCGGCACAATGTGCAAAACACAGACAAAGCAGATTAAAAAAGATTCTAAATACCTTCAAATCTATGCAACAAAGAACACATAAAGCAATTTACCAGTAACGAGCAGTAACAAAAAAAAGCCCAAACAAAATAGCTAAATTGCTTATAGTATAGGCCAACAAACCGGCTTTTTATTCCTTTTATGCTGGCAAGTTCAACTGCACGGAAGACAGAAAAACTTCAAACCTAAATGCTAATCCAGTTTAACAATTTGTTCCAAAGTCACATACTAACAATTCCATCCCTGCGGACACTCAGGAATACACGCCAGAAAAAAAAAAAAAAAAAAAAACCAACCATGTAGGTTTTGATATATTCACTTTCTTTCTTTTTTTTTTTTAACAGCCAAGAGTCATTAGGTGGCATTTACTTTCTTCATTTGCTACCTCTTTTCTCCACCTCGAGCCCGACAGCAGCACGAAATTTTGCAAAAATTTATTAAAACGCAGCCAGACTTGAGAATAAGAGAGTTGAGCATTAAAACCTGGTGTTGCAGTGTGTGATGGTAGGTTTTCTGTCGTTGGGTTTTGCTCTGGGGTTGTTTGTGGTTTTTTTTTTTTTCCCAAACCTGGAAAGGAGCACCCTAACACTGGGACATCTCACGTTAAAGCAACTTTCTGGCAGCAAGAAACACTCGAATATTTCAGTCTCCCTAAGGAGCTTCCACGAACAATGGAGCCCCACACCGGCAGACCCCTCGGATGATACATTTGGGCACAGCCTGGCACGTTCAGCCCGTGACCCGGCGTTATCAACGCCGGCGTGTTCGCTTCGTGCCTGCCCTTCTTTTAACTTCTGGAAGCAACTTGGCTGAGGAGCTGCGGGGTCGCTGCTGCCCGAGCACCCTCGCAGGGGGGATGACCCGAGGGAGGAGGGGACGGGCCGGGCAGGCAACTCCTGGAGGAGCCGGGCTGTCAGCGGTGCCCCAGCGGCAGCGGGGCAGGCTCGGGCCCCTGACAGCTCCCCGGGCCGGCCCGCCGGGAGGGCGCTGCCGGAGCCAGAAGGTTCCTGACGCGCTGAGGTGACACCGAACCCGCCCGAGCGCGGGCACCCCCCGCCCGCCCCGCGCATGCGCCGCGCGCCCCTCACCGTTGCCGGGTGACTCGCCCTCCCCGCCGTCCGCGGCACCGCCGGCAGCTCCCTCCGCCCCTTCCTACCCCGGGGGCCGGCGCGGGGCCTCTGCCCTGCCCGCTCCGCTCCGCTCGCAGCCCCTCCTCGTGCCCGTCCCGGCTCCCCCTTCTCGGCGGCCGCCGCCCCCCCCCGCCGCTGTCGCCGCCGCGGCCGCCGCGCTGTCGGCCCGGGCGCCGTCCGTGCGCTCAGAGCGGCTCCGAGCTCCGACCCGCGAGCGGGGGGTCCCCGACGGCAGCGGCGGCCACGGCCGGAAGTGACGCGCTGACTGACAGGTGCAGAGCGCGCACACCCCCCCTGCACTCGCCCCCCGCCCCCTCCCCGGGGTCACGTGCCGCGGGGCGGGGCGGGCGCTGAGGGGCGGGCGGGGCCCGCGCCCTGAGGCGGCGCCCGCGGGCGGAGCGGGAACGGGCGGCCCGAAATTGGCGTTTTTGTCTCGTCCTCACCCCACACAGGGACTCGGGCACCCGCACGGTGACTCAGCCCGTGCGGGCTCAGGGTCAGTTAGCCTGGAAAACACGTCCTGAGATCACAGAATCACCCAGGCTGGAAAAGATCTCTGAGATCATCAGCCTGTGACCCAACATCACCTGGTCTACTAGACCATGGCACGAAGTGCCGCATCCAGTGTCTTCTTAAACACCTCCAGGGACGGTGACTCCACCACCTCCCTGGGCAACCCATTCCAATGTCTGATCACTCTCTCTGTAAAGAACTTTTTCCTCATGTCGGATCTAAACCTCCCCTGGTGCAGCTCAAGGCTGTGCCCTCTTGTCCTACTGCTGGGAGAAGAGCCCGACCCGCAGCTGGTGGCACCGTCCTGTCAGGGAGTTGTAGAGAGTGAGGAGGTCTCCCCTGAGCCTCCTCTTCTCCAGGCTGAGCTCCCCCAGCTCCCTCAGCCTCTCCTCATAGGACTTGTGCTCCAGTCCCTTCCCCAGCCTTGTTGCTCTTCTCTGGACCTGCTCCAGTCCCTCCGTGTCCTTCCTAAACTGAGGGGCCAGAACTGGACACAGCACTCCAGGGGTGGCCTCCCCAGCGCTGAGTCCAGGGGAAGAATCACTTCCCTGGTCCTGCTGGACACACTATTCCTGATCCAGGCCAGGATGATCATCAAGCCCAACCTGTGACCCAACACCACCATGTCAGCCAAACCGTGGCACTGAGCACCATGTCCAGTCTTTCCTTAAACACCTCCCTGGGCAGCCTGTTCCAATGTCTGATCGCCCCTTCTGTGAAGAAATTCCTCCTAATGTCCAGCTTAAGCCTCTCCTGGCACAGTTTAAGTCTATGTCCTTTTGTCCTGCCATGTGCAGAGAGGGACCACGGTCAGTAGTGTCACTGTGGAGGCTTGTACCCCACTAGCTTTGTTTGGACATTAGGAAGAATTTCTTCACAGAAAGGGCGATTAGACATTGGAACAGGCTGCCCAGGGAGGTGGTGTTCACCATCCCTGGAGTTGTTTAAGCAAAGATTGGACGTGGCACTCGGTGCCATGGTCTAGTTGGCACGGCGTTGTTCGGTCACAGGCTGGAGTCGATGATCTCGGAGGTCTTTTCCAACCTAACTGATTCTGCGATTCTAGTTTTCCCTTTCTCACAACCATACTAAAACATTTCCTGTAAATTTTCTGAATTAAAGCATCAAGAGCCATCACTCCCAAACGCTCCCCGAGTGTAAGCGCACCAGAAGTAATGAACTGCCCTTTGACAAAGAGCTAATGCATTTTGAAGCAGAAAATTTAGCACCCTTAAAGTAAGTTAGCATAAGTTAGTGAGGAGATGCAAGCTTACACCCGAAGTGTTAAAACCCGTGCCTGGCAGTCTGTGGTTCCCACATGCCACGCTGAAACTACAACAGCTTTTTCTGTCATGCAGTGCCAGCAGCCATAGGTGGTGGGTTTAATAAGGCATTTAAGGAAACTTGGATTTAGTTAGTAAAAATCCTCTCAGGAAAAGCTTTTTTTTCCCCCCATGAAAAACTGACAAAGAATATATGAAAGAGGGAAAAAAAAATGATGCGACTAGGGTGGGACTAATTGAAACCTCTGTATTTTCAATAGCTGGGAGGGTTTTGTTTCAGGTTTTCCAACATGGATTCTGAATTTTATCTAGAGATACATTTATAGGACTCATTAAGAGGTTTTACATTTAGAATCCAAAGGAGGGAGAATCACAATCCCACAGTAAATTAGCCAGGGTTTAATCAGATCTAAAACTCTATTTTCCTGCTGGAAAGATTTGGTGTCATTAGGAGGTAGCACGCAAAAGCAATAAAATGTGTAGGGTCAAGGGAAGTGGCCTCTCAGGTCTGTTTGTGCTGTCTCCTCTCCTTCCACAGCAGACTTCTCCACTTGAACCGCTAATAAAATCTCCTCGCATCAGGATGAGGTTTCTGAATTTGTATTTTGTATACATCGCTGTGTTCTTTCTGATTCATTTAGCCTCATCAACAACAATAAAGATACTGAATCAGAACAAGCTGGCAATTTTGTTGATGAAACATGGGGGAGAGCGGACTCCAGCTGGCTCTTCAGCAGAGACGTTGGCCAGTTGACAGGAATAAAACTGCAAGAAACCTGACACAGAAAGCACACGTGGTGAGAGGAGACAGACAGCAGAGGCAGGCAGGTAGGCAGGCGCTGCACAGCACCTGTCTGCTGGTTTTGAGTCCCAGACAGTGTCTTCCCTCCCCTGAACTGGCTCTGAGTTTGCCATTTCATGCCAGCTTATCCCCCTTCCTTTCAAAGGCTTCCAACACTCCTCGCAGGGGGCAGACATATGCAGTCCCAGGCTGCCATTTTAGGCTTTTCTGCTCACTTTGTGTTCTCTGTCTGTCTCTGAAAGGTTGAGGACAACCTGAGAGTTACAGAGTCATAGAATATCTCAAGTTGGAAGGGACCCATAAGGATAATGGAGTCCAATTCTGTGCTCCTTGCAGGGCTAGCTAAAACTAAACCCTGTGACTAAGAGCACTGTCCAGATACTCTTTGAACTCTGACTTGCTTCTGTGACCACTTCCTTGATGAACCTGTTTCAGTGACCAACCACCCCCACAGTGAATCACTTTTTCCTGATATCTAACCTGAACTTTCCTTGACACAACTTCATTCTTTCCTGAACTTCTATGACTGGTCACCAGAGAGAGCAGATCAGCACCTCCCCTTCCATTTAAGGGAAGCTGTAGATTGCTCTTTGTGAGTCTTGTACCTTTTACCATCCTGGTCTCTCTCTGGTGCTTTGGCCACTTCTTCCAAGATAGCAAATACAGAGGGAAGGGAGGCAACAACTTAATGAGTGGCTGCATGGTTACGCTCCCAAAATACAGCTGTTGAAGGCACCTGCCTCTCAGATCACTGCTAAACATTACAATGGAGAATGTCCATGAGCTGTCTCCATCTGTTTCCCACTGCCTCAGGCCCAGCTTCAATTTGATGGCAGCATTTTGTAATTCTCCCTCTTTGGTGCTGTGCACACTGTGGAGCTCACACAGGTTCATTTACCCTCTCCCAAACTCACAGGCATGTCCAGAGCGGGCCCAGCATGAGCAGGGCTTGTGCAGGTGCATGGCTGCAGGGTGGCACTGTCACCCACATGTCAGGACATACGACAGTGCACTGCCTTGTACAGGGACAAGGCCCCAGTGTGAGGCTGCTCCTGAGCAGAAGGACCCGTTCCCCAGCTGCTGCACAGCTCCAGGAGCTTGGCAGATGCATCTGCCAAGAACTAAAGAGCCAGAGTGCCGTGGCACCCCTGTCTCCCTGATAAATCCGTGTCCAGAGCCACACCACAAAGGGTGTGTTTTCTGCAGCTCATTGTGTTTTCTTACAAGTCCAGCTAAGTTGCTCAGCATAAAAGTTTTGCAGAGATTGTCCTGCTAAATGCTCACAAAGTAACTTAGTAGGTCTGAAACAATTACTAGTGTAATTCCCTTTTTTTCAGGAAAAGCCATTCATGAGTACAAATCATTATTACCAGTATATGTCACAGAACCAGAGCCGTATTTCCTCCATGTATCCCCGATGTCTTCAGAAGTATGACTTCAGAATAAAGATTCTCTGAAGACTTTAGCTTCCAATTAAGTCTAGCTCCAGCAACAGCCCTGCCTTACTCCTCATGACAAATTGAAGCAAATTAAAGAAAAATATCCCTATCCCAACTGTGCTCAGTGTTGTACAAGGCTTAGTACAAACTGAGCTAAAATACTCCAAAACTTAAATCAGCTTTGCAATCCAATCCTTGGGAGGGTGATAGCCTGCCATGCAATTCCTTACCTTCATACTGGGTTATTATCTTACTAGGAGTAAACAGGAATCTGATGTGTAGCAAAACAAGACATTGTTTGCTGCAATACCTGTGCATTATGTGCCAAACACTTTTTACTTGGCAGGGGGAGAAACTATTTGTATGTCAGCAAAGTATTTGCTTTTGGTTTTAATTGTTCACCTATAAATTATTTGATACACTCTTCTGAACTTGGAAGTGCATAATGTTTCTCTTAAATAGATCCTATTGTCTCTTGCAAAAAATACTGACAAACATGAATCCTTTCAACACCAAAGAATTAGCAAACTAACACTTTCCAGCTGCAAAGTGCTTTCCTTTCCTGCATATTTCATCCAGAAACAGAGACATGTCTCCAAACTGAGCTTTACTTTGTTCCTCTTTTCCAGCATTACAAAATTTTCTAACCAACATTTTGTTTCAGGATGCCCAGCACATGACACTTGGCCTTGTTGGACATCCATAACTCTCCATGGAGGCTCTGGAATCAGCAAGTATCCAGTTCTTCTGACTCACAGTGTCCAAAAGGGCACCTAAGAATCAAAGTCCATTTTTAAATTAACAAATGAGGCTTCTCAACACTCAAGTAGACAGGTGAAAAAAATCTATTTTATAGAAACAGAAACTCCATCCCAGAGAAAACCATTCATCTTTTCAAAGACTGTCAGCCATTACTAGACACACATATGTAAGGATTTTTAAAAACTGAATTCAATATCAAAGGCACATGTTCTGAGTAAATGTCAGACATTTTTACTCATTTTTCTACTAGAGTTCCGTGATTAAAATAAACATTTACAGCATGAGATTTTTTTTCCCCTGCCTTTGAATACTTTTTGGATCTGAATCTTGCTTTTGGGAGATCTGTCTTTAAAGTAGAAATCTGGGAATATGGGTCAAATGTGGCTTTTAAGGCTTGTTCATATTTTAATTGCACGGTTGCAGACTTAACAGGAGATAATTCTTCCCTTCTTGAAATTCAAGACATCGAAAGGTTAATTCAGTCTTCTCAGTTCCATTTCCTTCCGTCTGTTCCCCTTCCCACACTTCCCCCCCCATCTGTAGACAGCTGAGTTATTTGAATTTTATGCAAGCTTGTATTCATCCAAAGGGAAAAATCACTCAGTGTCTGCACCAGGCAAGCGAAAATTGCAATATTGCACACTTGCATTTTTTTAATTCCTATTTGCTTTTCTCTGCATTCACCAGCCCAGGCTCTGGATGTACAAGCTCATGCCCTAAAGATAGTCCCCACTTAAAAGTTAACTTGAATTAAAGCTTGAATGTCCCCATCCCTTTGGAATTCCCATTCTTTGCACTCCCATGGATCTGTACTCTGGCTGCTGTGGTGCTTTTACCTTGGGTTGAGGAGAGGCCACAGTTCACGTTAGCACAATTTGTCTGCTGCCAACACAATCACTCCTCTGCTGCTCCCATGTTATTTCATGGTGTGGCCACTCACACTCAAGGTACATTAACACCAGAGGAGTCACTTTGACAGAGCTCAGGTTAACTCTGTCATGAAGACATGGCTTTAATCGGACTGATTTTACCACTTTATATGTATTTGCTAGGGGAAAAAAAGCCATAAAACCAGTAATTGAAAACAGTCAAGTTTTGAAGAGAAAGATTTTCACTTCAGATGCCAGGAGAGGAAAATAGTCTCATCTTTTTTTTTTTTTTTTTTACATTTAAAGAAAGATAAACAGCATTTAACACAACATACTTGCAGCTTTCATTTGAGCAGGCAGAAGTTAACAGATGTGCAACTTGCTGATTACCACTTTCTTACATAATTGTTGACCCTGTACACCGTATGGAATACCCGTGTGTTTGGCTTAACAAGCTTATAAAACTGGAAAATGATTTTTGGAAAAAACAATGTAGAAATGCGAGTATGAATGTGAATTGCTCTCACAGTAATCAGCTAGAAAAGATACTTGGCTGCTTAGTCTGTTCCTCTGCTTCAGCAGCCTCATTCCCTTAAGCAGCCGGAAAACTTCAGAGTTTATCTTCTTCTCCCCAAAACATAAAACCACTTAAGCTACCAGGAGGTCCCAGGCTGTTGAAAATGGAATGATTTGGCAACACAAAGAGAAGTGCTGGTCAGGCACCCATCAAAACTACACCCACAGCCCTGTGTCCCAGGAGTCAGCACCACACCTCCGTATCTACCCCAGCACAACACGGTTTGCAACGACAGACCCACTGATTGTCCTTCTTCCTCTGGACAAAAGGAAAATCTGAAGGTAATATAAAGTTAGTAGATCTCTGGATTGTATTATCTTTGATTATCTTCTCTTGGATTATGTTGGTTGTCTATTTGCTGCACAATTTGAACTTCATAAGGAAGGGTGATGTTCCTCCTGTCTAAAGCAAAGAGAGTGAGAATTCCAAGAGTGGATTGTTCCATTCCAGAGCAGCCAGTTACACTGAGAAGAGCCATCATGTGTTTGAGCACATCCTAGACTTCCCTGTCTTACTACTTCCCTAAAAGCTGCTGCTTGCAAGAGATGCTTCTGTCCAGAGACAGGGAGAAAAAAATGACTGTTAGTAAAGACTCAAAGTCATGCTAAACTTGTGTTTCTAGACCAGCATTCATCACAAACTGTCATGTGCTTGATAGCATTAACTAATGTGACTAAGACATCACATGCTTCTTTCCCCACCCTGTCTTTGGGAGAGAACCATGTGCACGGACATTTTGTATTAATTCTTTTTTTCCTTTAACAATGCACACATGGGTCACCACATTTTGCTAGAAAAGACCAGGCCAGAGCAAAGTAGTTTATGCTGGAAGACACACTTTTGGGTCAGTTCTCAAGAAAGCTCTGTTGCAAGAACCTCCATCTGGTTAAACTTTTAAAAATTCACTCCCATACCAAGTTTTATATCAAAAAAAAAAGGGAGAGAGGAAATTTCTACTCCCACTAGCTTATGTTTTCTCTTCTTGCTCTTTGCTGCAATGGGACTCCCAGTATAGACTTTTTGATATCCTGAGCTATTCAGAAAACACAGGGTTAGAAAAAATAGCCCAAGGAGAACGACTATCTACAACTGCCTCTCCTCCCCCCTCATCTTCTCTATGTACCTACCCTGAAGGTACAGTGGTCTTGATAAGGAAAATGAAACACCTTAGGTAATGATAAAACATACAGTGTAAGACAAGTATCGAGTATTTACTCACTAACAGTGCAGCCTTAGAGCAGAAAGTCTGCCAAAGAGGGATCAGTGCCTTCCTTACACCCCCAGGATTCATTGTCTCTTAGCCTGGGAACCTGTCTCCGTTCCCAAA